AAAACCAGGAAAAAAACCTCATAATACTATCCCGACATTGTAAGTATTTGTTCGTGAATTTAGTTTACCTTCAACAAACATCAAAATTCTGATTTTATATGTTACATTATTTAAAAAACATAAATGATGTATCCTCTATATGTTACTGACTTACTAATACTGGTATTTTCTTATTAATAACTTCCTCTTTCAATATTGGTAACCAGATCCTACTACATTCTGCCGAGGAATTTGCGACATAATTGTCCTCATTTAGCATAATTAGAGCCGCTTCTTTGATTTTTCTTTTTTTACCATCCGTTTCTTTTAGGACTATATTTGAATTATTCCATTGAACCCTATGTTCATTATCCCATGCGTGTTTACATATTTGAGATCTATCAAATTCTCTATTTTTAATATAAGATTGATGTTCACTTATTCTAACATTTAATGGCCTTGATGATTCACCTAAATAAAACTGATCGCATTCACAAGGTATTTTATAAATGCAATTCTTTGTCCTTTCTTGTTCATTGTTAGGTTTTGTTTTGGACAAAATAGATCTCAACGTGTTTGTTGTTTTGAATGTTGTTAAAATGTTGAATTTATTTCCTATCCTTTTAAGTTTTTCTGATAATCCTTTTATGTACGGTATTGTTATTTTCCTCATATTATTCCTTGTGTATGCTGTAGGATCTCGTTCTAAGTTGTTCTGTTCTATTCGATCGATTGTTGAAAATTTTTTTGGCTCTATCGTATAAGGATTTAATTATTCCCTTTTTTACATTAATATTGTGATTTGATTTGAAATTTAAATATCTATTGGTGTGTGTTGGTTTTCTATACACCTGAGTCTCATATCCAGTATCGTTCTTAGAGATCAAAACATCCAGGAAAGGTAGCGTGCTATTATATTCCTTTTCCATGGTAAATGTTATTGTCTCTTCTTTATCGTTTATATCGTTTAGGAATGTGTCCAACAACTCCATGAGGCCATATTGAGAATACATCATCTACATACCTCCACCATACTGTGGGTTTGAAATTTTGTTTAGAAATGATATTTGTTTCAAAATCTTCCATAAATATATCGGCTATAAACGTATTTTTATCTTTAATTGTGGCTTATTCCCAGTTATAAATAGTAATTAATTTACAATGCCACAAGAAAATAGCTTCAGAACAATATTCAAAAATAAAATTGTAAACAAACTTAAACCAACATGATAATTATTGAAGTTTACACTTTAAAGTGAACTGTGTATTATTGAAATTTAATGAGCTTTAGTTTAATGTTTACGTCAAACTTATTACGAAATCGGGCATAAGAATGCAGAATTTCTGTTATGTTACTTACTTCGGCTTTATTGTGATATAAACCCACTTTTCTCGTTACAATAATTTGTGCTTAGAAGTTGAAACCGGTAGAACTTGAATTTACTATTTTTGTTTTATTTTTACAATTTATAACACAGCATATGCGAAATCCTATTGTCTTCAATAACTACTTATGAAATATGCTAACAAAGTTGCAAGGTTTCACCGCTACACGATCCTTTCTGATATCCCCTCCAAGTACATGCACACAGCTTGGTGTATTAACCCAAAAGAGGTTATTGTGTTACTTTTGATCTGTATCAAGAGAAAAATGCTACAATTCCTGATGCTTATAATTATAACACAAATTTTGAAATGGCTGCTTTTTGCACACTTTTTTGCATACTGTTAAACTTTTAAGCGAATTTCCTGCACAAAAAATTACGTTACCGTATCATTTTTACTTCGCTGCCTTCGCTAGTTTATTTATATTTTTAGTTCTTCAATTAATTCTACTTATATATCCATTAGTTTCTGCATTTTATTCTCAGAAGGTGCTATTAGTAATACATTGTCAGCATACATTAGGGAATTGTTACTGGTTATAATCTATGATTTTCTATCATTGTCTGTAGTTCTTTGGTTCTTACTCTAGTATTTTTTATCAATTCGTTCGTTACTATTATGACTATCAAAGGGCTGATTCTATCTTCTTGTGTAATACCTCTCTTTCAAATAAATTCTTCAGATCTTTCCCGATCTCTTCTAAATCTAAGCATTAAAATAGTAATGTATGTGGACCTCTGCCAAAGGCTTTTTTAAAACTTTTAAAATATACGTAAATATTTTTCCTAAACTCAATGCTCTTTTGTAAGAGTATTTTCATATGGTGGAGTAGTATGGCAAGGGATAAGTATATATATATATATATATATATATATATATATATATATATATATATATATATATATGTTTTCCTTCGATTTCTCTATCCGATCGCAGTCCTGTATCGCAGTCCTCACACGGGATTCTGTATACACCTTGATTTTCCAATGCAACTTTTGTTTTTGCCGATGATAATATGGTTGCGATTTTTTTGTCGGTGTTAAAAATAGTTTCTATGTTGTTTTTACGTAGCACTTTGCTGATTTTGTCTGTCGTACCCTTTATATAGGGCAGGATAGTTTTTCCGACTGGTTTTTCCTCTTCTTCTGGATCTTTGATTTTGTTTCGGGATTTCTGTGCCTTTTCAATCGTATAACTTCGTATAACTTACGAAGAAAAGAAAGCCTTGAAGAATATACAACAAAACAAAGACATCATCGTACTTCCAGCTGACAAGGGCAACGCTACTGGCATAATGAATATTGAAGACTACGACACAAAAATACAGAACATACTAAACGACAGTGCATATAAAAAAATCGCAACAGACCCAACAACATATCTGGAGAAAACAACTAAAGCCAAAATACAAGCGTCATAAATCAAGAAAGAACAGCAGTTCCAGCTTATTCCACGAGAAAAGTCGTCAAGATGTCCAAAACTTTACGGTTTACCTAAAGTACATAAGGCAGAGTTACCATTACGACCAATAGTCAGCTCTATCGGGTCACCGCTACAATCACTGGCAAAATTTCTGGCCGACCAGCTACAACCATATGCAGAGAAAGCGGATACTTACGTCAAGAATACAAGCCACTTCATCGACCGTATCAAGGATGTTGTTGTGGAACCTGAACACTTATTAGTGAGCTTTGATGTAGTCTCATTATTCACCAATGTGCCAGTAGAAGAATCATTAGAAATTATACGCAGAAAATACCCAATACCACAGAATATATTAAACCTGACGAGGCACTGCTTAAACAACACCTATTCATCTACAAGGACCAGAGGTACAAACAAGTTGAAAGGGCACCGATGGGTTCACCACTGTCACCCGTAATAGCCAACCTTTTCATGGAAGATATGGAATCAAAAGCAATAGAAATAGCAGAGCATAAACCCAAACTGTGGCTTAGGTATGTTGATGACACATTTATTATCTGGACGCATGGAGAAAAGAAGCTTAACAAATTCCTACAACACATTAATAATATCCACCCAAATACAGTTTACCATGGAACGGGAGAATAACCAACAACTTCCATTCCTAGATGTGTTAGTTGTTAAGAAAGAAGACGAAAGCATAGGACACACAGTATACCGAAAACCAACCCATACTGACAGGTACTTACACGCAGACTCATACCATCATCCTGCACAATTAAATTCGGTAATAAAAACCCTAATAACAAGATCTGAGAAACTGGCAGATAAGGAACATAAGAACGAAGACATGCAAAAAATCAAAACAGCTTTAAGAAAAAATAGCTTCTCCATGTATACGATTGAAAAGGCACAGAAATCCCGAAACAAAATCAAAGATCCAGAAGAAGAGGAAAAACCAGTCGGAAAAACTATCCTGCCCTATATAAAGGGTACGACAGACAAAATCAGCAGAGTGCTACGTAAAAATAACATAGAAACCGACTTCTCGTGCGCCAACCGTTCTTCTCTTGCATTTCCTTTTTCCAAACAGACCGAACTTTTCAGTAATATTGAAAGTACTTTCTGATCCCACTTTAGCATTGAAAGAACTTACTCATGATAAGAGTAAGTTCGAGTTCCCTAGCTAAGACTTCTGATACAATTTGGTAAAATGTTTCAATCACGGTATTTTCTTTGTCTGCAGTTGATGTGTACTTGTATTATATTTATATTTACTGGGAATGCAGCTAATTAAATTATTACTACTTGATCTGATATTGGAACAAATTTTCTTAAAGATTTTGCAAACGTTTGTTTTAGTATGACCCTTATCCGTTTTCGATGGAACTCATCGTTTGTCCCAGAGTAATGTATCTGATTGTCTTGAAATCTGTTTTGGTCTTGTTTGAAAACTATGTTTTAAAAACTTCTAATACAGAAATATCGAGTCTGCCGATTTATAGTTAGAGATTTTTAAGCTTTCCTAATGAGGAGTGACGAGATCAATACAAAATAAAATATACAGAATATAAACGAGTGGATACTACATATAAAAAAGAATGCAACAGTCACATCAGTAAAAGAGCGATCCCAAGAGTCAGTAAATCACCATGTGGTAGAAAAAGTATTTGCCGATTGCGCAAGAGCAACAACTTGCCAATGAACAATCAAAATTGCTTATGTAAAGGAAGAAAAAAGAAGATTTCCAATACCGAAAATGTTTTCAAAAAAATTATAAATTAAGAAATTTTGTTAATTTGTAAATTTTTATTAATTGATACATATTTATCATTGTTTATCAATTAATAATTATTTTGTAAAAGACAAAGAGGGAAAAATATCTCATCAGGACATTGAAGTACTCTAAAAATGGTACCAAGTTCGTTGTAACGAAGCTATGCTTAGAGATTGCTGTTGATTTGTAGGTAAACATGCACTAGAACTCACAATTCCCTTTGAAAACTAAAACTCTTGAAAAATACCTCTTAGTAGTAATGACAATTTAAATGGACTCTTAGTATTTTACCATATAAAAAACGTATTTTGAATGAAGTTGTGATATGAAAAATTATAGGAAATTTTTTTTAATTCAATAAAACACAAATAAAAATGTTTAACATTATATCGCCATTTAGTATTACTTTATTTACACTTGAATTATTTCTTAGGTAAAAAACTCAATAGCACCAGGCGTAACCGCTGATAACGGCCTTGCTCTACCAGCGCCTATGCCCAGAAGGGCTTCTGCCTACGACGTATTCTCAGTACCTGGCTTAAGTACAGTAACTACAGCTCCAACGGCTGGAATGACCAGAAGAGCTTCATTCAGGATTGCCCCTCCACAAGACCCAGGAAGTCCACCTAGCCCGGATGGACCTCCAGCTTGTCTAATCGCTCCTGAAGAAGACCGAAGGACCGCAAGACGAGGATCACGTCTGTAAGTTAATGCCTGATACTTTAGTTTTGTTTTCTATATCTAATTAGAGGTGCTAATTTAAGGTATGTAGGGTTTAATTGATTTAAAAAAAAACTTTCGTTTTTGCTGCGGAAATTTTAAATTGTTAGTAGTTTTTAATATTATGAGGTACGATTTCATCTCTAAATTTAAAAAAACTATGGGTAGTAAAATACCATTATACCAAATTATCTCCATAATTTCGTATAGGATTCGCATTTGAGCACTTGATACTTGAGGTATGAGAATGTTTTAGAATGGATTAAATTTAATTTATTTGATTTTAATAACAGATATTTATGCAGTAGCAAAAGTTTCTGAATTTTGCTTGTACAAAACCCACACAAATTCTTTAGAAATATGACCAATTTCACATGTACTTTTTTGGAGTTCGCTTTTTGGTATTGCCTATGTTTAGTATTTGATTGCTTTGTTTTACTCTTTGGATTTACCCCTTAGTCATATGATTTTGTCGCAATTTTTCTGCTAACTACAGTAGGAAATTTTTCCTAAATATTTGACTGCCATTAACTTCCTTATACAGAATCCAAGCATTTATTCCTGCCGTATCTTGCCACGACCATCTCCTTGAAGCTGATTTGGTTAAACGCCGTTTGGGCATCTGATCTACAACGTCTACTTTATATTTTGTGTAGTTGTGGTAGGTACTGATTTTCGGTTTCTTCTTATTGTCTGTACTATTTTAGTATTATATGAGTGTAGAGAACTGAGCACTAGAACATTTTTGTTCATTTTTCCCTAATACACCATTAGCGTAAGTCTTAGTGCTTGAAAATGTTTGTTTTATGCGATTCTATATATTCCTTTTTTTTTATTAACAGCGAAATCATTTCTTGCTCGGTTTATTGTACCAATAATGCTGGTTGCCTTCTTTCGTAATTCTTTTGCCAATATTACGGACGTAATGAAATTATCCGTCGTAACATTTCTTCCTTTAGTTATAAATGGTCCCTTTAAAAGGCTAAGTGTCTGCTACTCTAAAAGTTGATTGGTTGGTTGTGGTTCATGTTTATCAAGGTAAGCAAATTCGTTCAATAAATATTTGGACTGGACATCAGCTGAAAGCCGGAATTAAATTCCAAATGTATCGGGTTTATTCACCACAAACTGGGTAAAGCGACATCTTGCGTTCGTGGGAAAAATCTGTTGGTCAATAAGATATAGCAGTCAGCAGGTCAGCAGTATAGCATAATATACATTTCTCTATAAACGAGTTTCATAATTGCTAAGACGAGATACTCATATCAAAGCGAATAAAGCTCAATATTTATTTTGACATCATCTCTTGAAAAAATTTGGAGCCCATGTACCAGACTATAGCGTTTTTATGCTAACATTTTGTGCTATATTACCTTCCCTCTCCCCTATTATATAGTAAGGATATAAATGCTTCGATTTCTTTAATCGAAATTTGCCAATTTTTATCTTTGAGTTACCTTCAGCAACACTACATGATTTTATGTTATGAAGTATGCGTTCATCAATCAATGGTCGCCATGCTCTAGCTGCAGAATTTCTAATAATGCTTCTATTAGCATAAGACGTAGTTCCAGCATCTTCTTTTAGAACATTTTGACTAATACTTCTTCCTTAAATGAACGCGATACATTACAATGCAGGTGTATACTCATAAAAATATTATTTAAGTGAATACATAAATAATTGAATAAAAGCTACTAATATAATATATTATATTATACTATATTATATAAACGCTACTAATATAATATATTAATAAAACTTTGCTCGGTATCTCCCTTTTATTTGATCAAACTGTGGACCAGTCTTTGTACACTATCTTCATCTTGGGCTATGAATATTCCGTTATCTTCGTAACATAGTATTTTTATTACTTTGTTTCCCATTCTGTAACCTCTTCTTTTGTTAATATTAAATTTTGTAATACTAATTTGATTGTTTTAGAAAATCTGGTACATTCTGACGAAGTTCTGGTTGTCTGCGAGTCGCATTCGTAAAACCATGTGTAACATTTATTTTTCCCATTTTTTGTACTCGAAACACTGTGTAAGAATATAATTGAACTATTGATGGTTTATTGCACTTTTCGCAGCAAGGTAAATCCTACGAAGCTATGAGGTTTCAATACTCAGCCACTAGTAACCAATTTTATGTAATTTCCTGATAGATCTTCTTAATTGGTCTTACCTGGACTTTAAAAGTTGAAAAGTAGTTTTAGATATTATGCTAGTTGAACAGTTTTAAAGTCTGATTTGGCGATAATTGCTTTCTATCCAGCAGTATCAGCAGGCTCATTACATAAAATGCCAACGTAAGAAGTCCAAATTGATGTTATGTTTGTTTCAGAACAAATGATATGGTGTATTGCTTCACGTAAGTTATAAACTAGTGGATGTTTGGAGTTTATATTTTTAAACGAGATGATAGAGGACATCGCCGATTTATTGCAGTATTCTTGGCTTTAGTTTTGTTAGATAAGCAGTTTAATTGTTGTATGATGCTATGTTACTCTTCTGTGTAAATGAAGGTGGATGGTGAACGTTTAAACTTTTGTTTAATACTGTTTGCAGCTGTTACTGAATATCCAACTTCTGTCTTAGTTTTAGATGCATCTGTAAAGAGAATCAATATTCATATCATTCATTCATAATCAATATCAAAATACTTCAATGATTAATTGACTTTAGCGTAGGAAATTTCTAGGAAAAACAGCTTTATACAACTTGTAGTTATATCATATCAATATTCATTCAATGAACATGCAGTATGTATGTAGTTTAAGTGTAGTTAAACTAATAAATTATACGAGTAGGTACATTCCCACAACGGTTTGATTTGTGGACTTTAAACGGATATCGGTAAATAATAGCTTCGTGTTATTCCAATAGAGTTTAATATCAATCAAATGTACACTGAAATAACATGTATGTTTTAACAGAGATGTCCCAGTACAGTTATTCCCGGTAATTGAAAGTTTTATCTTTAGTTCACTTTGTTTTACCTTTAAAACTTTCTAATACTCATAATTTAATATTTTAAAAAGTTGCATTTTATACAAATTAATTTGGTATTTGATTTAAATAGCAATCTGAGTGAAAGACTAAAAATGAACAGCAGAATCAATATAACAAAACTATTTCTCGTCGATTTTGTATGTCAGTTACGCGCGCCAAATCAATTTTCAGTAGTAATATCCCTAGGACATTAATAATAGACGAGATAATTTCATGACAATCGAAAGCTCGTTCCGTCACGAGCTTGAGAAATTTGTCATGAAATTATGAGGCATTCATCAATGTCCGAGGGATATTCGGCGGATAATTTTTCAAAAAAAAAATCATAACTCAACATAACGAAACATTTATTTATTAAAAGTACAGTTAGTGAAAGTACAATTATTAAAATTTAAGTTAACATTAGATTAACGAAACGTGACATTTTGAAATTTATTTGGATGAAGTTGTCAAACTCGATCGTGTTGTCATAGGGATTGAAAATTGCACTGAATGCAATTATCAGTCTAATGTTGACATGATTGGGTAAAATTGTTCCACATGACACAAAATGACGAAATTTGAATGGTTGTTAGAACAGTCGAAAAATTATCAATAAAATTTGTATCAGCTCGTTGGTAATAATTCGATATCTTTTGACTCAAGTGACCAATCATACAAAAATCAAGATTCGTTTTAAAGGTAAAGAGATTGGCTTTCGTATGCAGTTTTTATATTTTTGCAAAAAATGAACTCAGTTTTCATAAAGTTGTTAATAAATTAACGTGGCGTGATTTTTGCCATTTTTTACGATTCTCGTGAGATTAATAAAATTGATCACTTTCATTGACCAGTTCTAGCAAAATTTTCATTTTTAGGGATCAATATTTAAAACCAATGACATGAAATTTCAATTTTGAGCTGTGGTAATTAATATAAGACATTTGAGCATTTTTACATTACAAACGAATACGCATCACAAAAAATACATTTAAGAAAATTTTGGGTGTAGTTTGTTGCAAAACTGTTGTTATTTTAAAAAACGTACTAGTATAATTTAAAAAAAAAAGATTTAAATGCTTAAAATCGTTTGTTGTGTGAAAGTTCAGCGTTTTTTGGCCGTGTGTTCTATGGTATCGAAAGCTTTTTCTTAGTCTACAAATGCTAAGAAAACTGGAAACTTGTATTCGTTACATTTTTCTATTAATATTTTTGTGGTTAACAGGTGATCGGAAGTTGAATTGCCTTTTCTAAAACCTGCCTGTTCATATGATTGGTATTCGACCAATTTCCTTGTTAGTCGAGTAGTTATGACTTTGGTGAGTATTTTAAACAGGTGTGACAGTAGGCTGATGGGTCTGTAGTTTTCCAATTTTCGACTATCACCTTTCTTGTGTAATAAGATTACTTTAGAGTTGTTTCAGCTCTTAGGAACTTTGCTCTGATGTAAACAACTGTCCACCAGCTTAGTTACAATTGCAATTAGTTCCTTACCTCCTTCTAATATCATATCTGTGGTAATACTATCTTCTCCTGCAGCTTTATTTCTCTTCATGTTTTCCAATGCTGTAGTTACCTCTGAAATTGTTACTTTTGGCATTATTTCTGATCCAACATTTTTTATTAATTTCCGTGCTGGTCTCATCTCATCATCTTCTTGATATGTTCTGTAAAGTTCTGTGTAAATGTCTTCTATTCGTGTCAGTATGTTTTCTCTAGTTGTGATTTCATTTTCGTCTTTTCCCATTAATGATATTATCTGACATCGTCCTAGTGTCGGTCTGAGGCATTTCATACTCTTATTTTTTTCAATAGTTGTTGTTATTAATTTTTCGTTTTATTTTCTTTTTTGTTGTCTGATTCCTTTTCTAATCTGCCTATATTCTCTATATTCGTCGGTTCCCCTTTTGTTAGATTTATTTCTTCCTTCTTCCTTCTTTCTATTTGTTGTAATATTTCTTTGTCTAATTCATTGTATGTTGTTTTTGG